ACATTACAAACTGGATTAATCTAAACCTGAACATTCCTCCCTTTGATGCTGATGCCATTTTATTTGACCTGGATAATTTAAGCTCAGCTTCCTGTGATGCTGTAAATATAGTCATCCTCACAGCAAAGTACCACATTCATTGTAGTAAGTGGAGGGACACTCAGCCCTCCGTCCCCTGTTCTATGAACTAATTCAAGTTGTACTATTCTTCAATAAGTAGATTAAAAACTGGAAAACTGCTAGAACCATTTCACAACAGATATCTAAAAACTTGTTGTTTTAAGTTTCTCATATTGTTTTGCTCCTTTTTGTTTCTTATGTTTATTCTTTTCATTTAATGTTTTTTATATATGTATTACTCAATTTTTATCATTTTGTAACCCCCCCTAGCTTGTAAACTGTAGTTCTGACACCCTTCACGACTGTTTGTATATATCTTTCTCTTTTGTAGTGTTTTGTAGTTCTGTGTGTTATTAATAAAAATAAAAAATTAAACAAATTTTAAAAAATGGCAGTCTGGTTTGTGTGAACAGAACGGATCTCTCTGAGAGGAATGTTTGGAATGGGACCGCTCCTTCAACCTGTTAGGACATGTTCCAAACTTAAAAGTACTTTCACAAAGGTTTGCTCTCTGAAACGGAATGCAGCTACAGAATATGGAGGTTTGGAGCAGAAATGGAACAAATATTTCACTTTGAAGTAGTGAATTTAAGTACCTCTTAAACGTTTAAAGCTAAACTGATAAAACTATTCTGGTTTGTCCAAAAAGTTCAATCTGGTCCTCTGGACATTCAAAAAAACAAGAAAACACAAAAAACAAAACAAAGCAAAAAAATGTAGAAACGTTTCGTCTCTCATCCGAGAGACTTCCTCAGTCTGAGGTGCTGTTTTCAGCTCAGTCTCTTAAATAGCACCTTCTCAGAGTGGATCAACCAGTTTTGCTGCTGACAACCAAAACCAGCTGATCACATGCTCAAGAAGGACCATCAGCCTAACAATGGATCATTAGCACCTGATGGCTGTTTACTGTTCACAGAGGGCTGAGTGATACTAGCAATCACAGCATTGTAAGAGGGGGACAATTGAACCCGGAGGCTCCGCCCCTGTTTAATGATGGACGGTTTCTTTTCACAAAGATGGCCTCCTTTACTCCTCTCTCAAACCATCGTTCCTCTCTGTCCAGGATGTGAACATCTTCATCCCTGAAAGAGTGACCGCTGGCCTGGAGATGAGTGTAGACCTCAGAGTCCTGGCCTGATGATGTTGATCTTCTGTGCTGGGCCATCCTTTTGGCCAGTGGCTGTTTAGTTTCCCCGATGTAAGACTGATCACCCTCCTGACACTGAACAGCATACACAATATTACTCTGTTTGTGCCGGGGGACTGGATCTTTGGGATGAACCAGTCTGAACCAGTCCAGGCCCCTGGACCGGGGTTTGAACCAGGGACCTGCTCGCTGAGAGGCAGCAGCTCTACCAGTTGCACCACCATGCTGCTCCATTTTATTTTCATTTGTAAAAAAAATTAATTTGTACGCATCCTTTATGACTGTCTATTGTTGTCATCACTCTGTTAATATTCAGGTCTCTCCTGTAAATGAGTCCCGGAGGCTCAATGGGACTAAACTGTAAATACATAAAGGTTGAATGAATGATTGCGAAACGTTCATCTGGTCCACTCAGAACTGCTTCAGACTGAATCCAGTTGTTTCTCAGATAAAAAGCCTCCATCACCTCCTCAGAGGGACTCGCTGACCCCAGCACCCCCACAACACCTCCACACTGCAGCCAACCCCCACCCATCCCGCCCTCTGCCGTCACATGTGGTCTCCACCCCCCAAAACACCCCCCTCCCGCCCCATGTCTCCTCCCCCACCTGGTTTCTTTTTGTTTCTGGATCAGATGGGTCAGAACTTGTTCTTTTCTTTCTCAGAAAATGAACTTGAACTCGTTTTAAATTGCTTTGTTTTCAGCAGCAACCTAAACTTGTGACTACATTTATTAAACATATAATTTAAGATCTGTTGTAAATGTCAGTCATGTTCAAACCTTTTGACAGAAAAGTTTCATTTTTAATCAGAAAATGTATAATTTTTTTTAATATGTTGTGTTTTTTTAGCAGAAGGAGGAAAGTTTCATAATTTTGAAGAAGCTCTAAATTGTAGCTCATTGAAGTCTTGCAAACATTTACTAATAGAAACTTGATTAAAGCCGGAGCAGACATCAGCGTGTCTGGTGCCGGTCCAGAGCCTGTCAACACTGAGGGTTTTGTCCCAAAATAAATGAGCTCATGCCGTGGCCCGAAGATCAGCTGAAAGAAGTTAATAAATGTGTTATTACAGCTTCATAAATGATTCATAAACTGTGTTTATTACTGATTCATTAATGATTTTTACGTGTTTACGAACATGAATTACCTGTTTATAGGGCATTAAAATGAAACTGATTTATTTGTTGCATGTCACTGATTTTTACTCATGAATTTAAAATTAAATGTTCTGAAAGAGAAAAAACGTTCTTGGGGCAGATTTATGATGTAAAATGAACGTGTTAGTTTTTACAGCGTTTCTCTTCATCACACCGGATGAAAATGTTTTTAAAGTAAATTAAATGAAAGGTTTTATTTGTGTTTTTCTGGCTCCAGCTGGAGGAGCTGCCCAAAGACCCAAAACCTGCAGCAGAACTGGTCCAGGATCTGGTCTTGGGGTCTCTGTTTGAACGGGTCTTTGAGTTGGACAGGGTTTCAGCAGACTGGGGTCCTGCAGGAGGAGGAGGCTCTTAATGTGAATTTATCTTTAAAACCTGTAAATAGATGGTTTTGTATCTATTTAGACTGTTGTATCTTTTCCTACTTGTCTTTTGTAAACTTGAACACTGTAACGTCTGCTCATGTTGTCCTGGCAGTTAATAAAAACTTCTAAACAAAAAACTTCATCCATGGATCTGAAGAACTCCACCAAGTGGCTCGGAGCGGAGAGACGGCCGTTTCACCAGAACAGAACCTGGTCTAGGTTTGTTCTGGATCACTAACCTCGTGGGTCAAAGCATGATCACCCCTGAATGAATGCATGTCGCCCGCTGCAACGCAACCATGTCTGGAGCGGGTCGACCTTCAGAGGTTTCTGTAAGAGGACTCTCAGATACTACCACCTCGGTCTGTCACTGAGTTCTTCTCTGCTCTGTGTTGGATCAGGAAGGCGGCCATCTTGAATGTTTCAACATCTATCCTGTGGATCGTGAGATATTTTGCTAACAGACTGACAGATGACAAGCGTTTATGTTCTTGTATTTTGTTTAGTTTATAGAATTTTACTTTTCAAACAGAAGTTGAACTTTTGTGGATTCTTAATGAACAAGTAGACGTTTGTATTTTTTTTATTTTTGTAAACATTTTACTTATCAGGACCAGAGTCAGGTCTAAATGTTGGTAGGTTTATTTTGTTACCATCGTCTCAGACTAATCACTGGAAACATCTAAAACTGTATGAGTGTTTGGGACCATGGTCCTGTTGGACCCAGCTTCAGCTGTGGGTCTCCAGAGGACTTCTGGTCCACTCAGAGACTGACAGGAGCCCACACTATCAGCCCCCACCACCGTGCTGTCAGCTGGAGATGTTGGACTTTGGTCTTTTCAGAGATGTTTTCGACTGAAGTCCTTCCAAACAAGCCGTGACCTTTGACCTGAAGAGTCTGAGCTGGAGCTTAATTTTTTTGCCTGTTAGCAAAATATCTTGTGAACCATTGAACAGATTTGAATGAAACATTCAGGAGATAAATCTCTGGATGAACATCTGCCGCTGATTATGTTTTGGAGCCAACCTGATTCAAGATGGCCGCCAGAGCTAACCAATCTTATAATTCATTCAACCTTTATTTATACAAGTTAGTCTCATTGAGCCTGGAGGAACCTGGAGTGGTAGTAGCTGAGAGTCATCCCCAACCCACACTTTGATTTCTACTAAATCTAAATGATAAATTAATCAAAGTTCTGCCATCCTGATGGGTCTGTTAGTAAAATATCATCCATTTCTGTAGCAAACCTTCCAGTCAGACACAAAAAGTCCTGGCTTTGGTTGAAGTATTTTATTAAGATTATAAACTTTAACAAAGACTTCCTGGAACCGTTTGGAGCCGGAGAGAAACCTGGTTCTGGTCACTCAGTGCTCAGAAGGCTCATTGGACCCTCCGGTTCTGAAATAGTATACTTCCTTTTAAAAACAAAAGGATTTCTTCACAAAGTTCAACTCATGAGCCACGAACTGACGACAGCAGTGAGAATAAAGAGGAGCTGGAGCAGAGGAGGAGCTCAGGTTGAAACTTGAGAACGGGTCAGAACAAGTCACAGGACACATTCCATCGCTCTCAGCTCTACAGCAGCTTGAAGGCACACGGAGGTCCACGGCTGCTCCGTCCAAACATCACTGATGCCCTTTTCTGTAAAAATAAAGTGGATCTGACCCAAAAACCAGGTCCAGGCTCCGTCCCCTTTTGTTCAACCTGTCTCTGTCTGAAGACACGTTCTCTCTCAGCTGGTCCTGTTGTTGACATCAGCTGATCAAAGAACAAAAGAACAAGGGCAGCTCCGGGTTCAGAGGAGGCCCTGATCAGACCTGATGGGGTCCTGATCAGACCTGATGGGGCCCTGATCAGACCTGATGGGGCCCTGATCAGACCTGATGGGGTCCTGATCAGACCTGATGGGGCCCTGATCAGACCTGATGGGGCCCTGATCAGACCTGATGGGGTCCTGATCAGAACTGATGGGGTCCTGATCAGACCTGATGCGGGTCCTGATCAGACCTGATGGGGCCCTGATCAGAACTGATGCGGGTCCTGATCAGACCTGATGGGG